GTCATTTGACGAGTCCGAGCACGAACCCAGCCGTAGGTTCACCCGACAAGCCATCGAGCTCGTCGGCCGTGCCCACGAACCTAAGTTCACGAGCCGAGCTTGTGAAAAATCTTAAGAAAAAAGAAAAAAAAATGAAAAAATATAAAAAAAAAAATTTTTTTTTTAAAAAGAAAAAAACCACGGGCTCATGGGCTCGGCTCGTGAGCTCACGAGCTCGTAGGCCGAGCCGAGCTCGACCCTCGAGCACGAGCCAAGCTCGTGGGTAGATGACCGAGCCGGCTCAGCTTGGCTCAGCCCAGCCCAACCCATTGCAACCACTAGGTCCATTTGGGGATCGAAGTTATAACTTAAGTTCAACTATTATGAATTGTTACGTTGAAATTTACAAGCGTACGAAATCGTTGTAAAAGTAATAGAAATAGTAAGTTTTGAGTTTATCGTTTCTACGAGAAATAATGTTTAAAATGTAGTTCAATAGTTGTATTAAATTCAAGTGAATAGTGACATCAAAAGAGTGATTATATGGTTGTTTATACTACTTCTAATTTATACTAATAAAGCAAGTAAATTATAATTTTAATGAATGTGAACACTTATATTGGATTCATGATTCCCTTATTTCCATCTCTTTCAATTATCAATTCATGCTCTAGTTAATTTCATGTATTTTTTACAACCGATAATACGTTAAATGCTTTTTTTCAAGATACACCAACTTATGATTAATACGACCCGATCATATTTTTAGTCCAAATTCATATGAAAATCATGCATTTAGTTTATGTTATCTATGTGATTGCACATGCCATAAATANTAAAAACACTCAAGGAAGGTGCAGCTGCCTGTTTAAAATAAGAAATTCCGTCACATAATCCGTTAAAACAACAAATTCCGTTAGTTTTTCCGTTAAAAACAAGAAATTTCGTTACCTAAGCACTTTTAATATATAGAAGATATTATAGCATTTCTATATTCATTGGATAGATAAAAGTTATTAGGACATCTCTTATATTTTAAATAAATGTAGGACTTGATAGGTAAAATATATCATGCGACGACCTAGCTTTACGAACTTACGGAATTCACCCAAAATGTACTCTTTATTTTTGTTTAAAGGTCCATTCAGTGGTGTCAAATTGGCCGAACGGCTCGTCGGCTCGATCGCAAATGGCACGAAAGTCGGCTCGTCGTGGGAGGCTCGGGCTCGTCATTTGACGAGTCCAAGCACGAACCCAGCCGTAGGTTCACCCGACAAGCCGTCGAGCTCGCAAATGACTCGTGGGTCGTGCCCACGAACCTAAGTTCACGAGAAAAATCTTAAGAAAAATGAAAAAAAATGAAAAAAAAAATTTTTAAAAAAGAAAAAAACCACGAGCTCATGGGCTCGGCTCGTGAGCTCACGAGCTCGTAGGCCGAGCCGAGCTGAGCTCGACCCTTGAGCACGAGCCAAGCTCGTGGGTAGATGGACCGAGCCGGCTCGGCTTGGCTCAGCCCAGCCCAACCCATTGCAACCACTAGGTCCATTTGGGGATCGAAGTTATAACTTAAGTTTAACTAATATGAATTTACGAAATCGTTGTAAAAGTGATAGAAATAGTAAGTTTTGAGTTTATCGTTCCCACGAGGAATAATGTTTAAAATGTAATTCAATAGTTGTATTAAATTCAAGTGAATAGTGATATCAAAAGAGTGATTATATGATTGTTTATACTACTTCTAATTTATACTAATAAAGCAAGTAAATTATGATTTTAATGAATGTGAACGCTTAAATTGGATTCATGATTCCCTTATTTCCATCTCTTTCAATTATCAATTAATACTCTAGTTAATTTCATGTATTTTTTACAACTGATAATATGTTAAATGCTTTTTTTCAAGATACACCAACTTATGATTAATACGACCCGATTATATTTTTAGTCCAAATTCATATGAAAATCATGCATTTAGTTTATGTTATTTATGTGATTGCACATGCCATAAATANTTTTGTATTTATTTATAATACTTCTAATCTATATTTATAAAGCAAGTAAATTGTGATTTTTATGAATATGAATGTTGTATTGGATTCATGATTCCCCTTATTTCTATTTATTTCAATTATCAATTAATAATCTAATTAATTTCATGCATTTTTGACAACCGATAATGCTAATATGTTAAATACTCTTTTCCAAGATACACCAACTTATGATTAACACTATCCAATCATATTCGTAGTCCAAATTCATATGAAAATTATGAATTTAGTTTATGTTATCTACATGATTGCACATGACATATATATTATTCATACTATGTATTGATTGTATTGCATTCTAAATTTATTGTGAGTATTCTTACACTACAACAAGTAATTAACTATTCAATTGATGGCCAAACAATTAAATAGTGCAATGAGATTGCAAAACTAGTCAAGAAATACCTAAATTAATCGTCTTGAATTGAAATAAACAAAAATAGGGTTCCTCAATCATCCAATACAATACAAAAAGTTAGTTAATCAACCTAATAATTAAATTATACAAGAATTTATAGAAAAATATCACCCGAATCGAAGAAATACAGAAGAAAGTGGAGAAATCCACTTTATTGAATGAAATCTTGATTTTGGATTGATAATTTTCAAGAATTTTGTACAAGTCCATTAATGTTGATGATCTAGCCTCATTCTTCGCTTCCAAATATGTTGAATTTATGAATTTTTAGGTATAGGGAGGTCTTCCCATGTTGTGGTCGAGTTCTGATAAAAAAGATTGCATTTAATTGTTACCAAAACAAAAATAAGAAAAATCGAATTTTTTCCCATTTTATACCGAGAAGCGCGCCTAGTACAAATTAGAGCGCATGCCTGAACCCTTTAGGCGGCCTCAAGAGTCTCATATTACGAGGAGGCGCGCGCCTCCTCTGCAGGTCCCGATTAGCTTTCAATATTTTTGCCATAACTTTCTCTCCCAATATTCAATTGGAGTAAAGTGTATTGAAAATTTAACTCAAATGGATACAGTTCTTTTAGAAACACCATATCTCTAGTTCGAATGTTTGCTGTGCTAAAAATGGGTTGCAATCTATGACTGGAAATCCGGAGCAAAATTTTTTTGACTAAAAATTGATGTTTGATAATATTTTGACCATTATTTCCTCATCCAATCAAATCTATCACTTTCGAACCTTCATCATGAGATCCAACACAATTTTTAAGTATTTACATTTTAGGCTCCGAATTTTAAATTTAGTTCATTTTAGCCATTTTTCGTTCTTTTATCCAATCCTTCGTCCAAACATGAGTTTTTCCTAATAAAAAAATAAATAACAAATTAGGCATTATTTCGTTCAAAAAATAACAAAATTTCATCATTTAAAATCTTGAATAAATGTGAAAATTACACTTATCATGAACTTAAACATTTGAAGTTTACCAAATGGGAAAGCTTTGATTGTCTTTTGTATAAAAGTTATTTGGACCATTAAGCCAACAAAACTTGGTAAAATTTAAGTGCAACATTAACAACACCAAAAGTACTTTGCTATTAATTTCATAACAATGTGTGGTCAAGAATGCTAGTCAAAAAGTACATTGCTGTTAATTTCAAGCGAATCATCACTCCATGGAGCATATAGGGTAAAATCCTACATCGGATATAAATGAGTCAAATAAAGAAAACATTTCCTAAGCCTTGATATTACATATGCTCATTGACTGTAAATCTTTAACAAAGAACAATGTACTTTTGATTGAATTTATCAACTAAACCTAATTAAATTTCAATTTGACTTTAACCAAACTGGATATTTTGGTTTCGTTCTATTTCAATTCGTGCAAATTTAGATAAGTAGTCGACTAATTATATTCACACCACAATTTTTGCTATATGCACCATATTTTGCCTCCGTTTGGTAGACATTATCTATGTCAAGAATGCATTTTTCTGCCAAATCAAGTGGGCTCCATCGCTGGCTACTTTGTTCCCTGGTTAATCAATTTATCTGCTGAATTACTATAATGCCCTTTTGTGACATTTGGCAAGTGAGTGGGTAAGAATTGATTGAGGGTAGAATGGAGAATGTTTACAAAATTATTCAAAGTGAGGGCACATGTTCTATCAGACGGGTACTGTTGCAACGGTCGGAAAATGTCTACAAATTGGCAAGAATTGGTATCAAACAGAGGCTTTAATCATAATGAAGATTCTCAACTTTTGCTAATTTCTACACTTATGTCTCCCAACTTTTTTCATTGCATTCTTATTTTCAACCTTGTATGAATTAGTACCTCTTGTCGGTAATGAAAGTTTCCATCCAAAAAATCCGTTAGAAAGGCATAAAGCGACTCTCGTATTTTAAAATATGTAAAATAAAATCATAAATATAGAAGTCGACAAAATACTTGTGACTGATTTCAAAGCACGTTAATAAAATATTTGGATAGAAACAATCATCAGAATCAACAATGCAACGAAAAATTTGTGAAAATGCAAAAATGAGCAAAAATTGAGGACTTTTATTGCAATTTATATGTGGTATGATATGATTAACAAAAACTGTAGTGTGAATATAATATGCGAATGGAATGTACCCGATTATTTAACATATTCATGACATGTTTGATATACAAAATTCAATAACATTGCAATAGAACTAAAGGGGAAAAAAACAGAAATTAAAATCTAAATTTAATTTCTATCTTACCATGTCACTAGATAATTAGAATCAATTTGAGTACCTGGCAGAATACACCTAACCGAATTATACCACCTGCAGAAGAATCCTACTTCATATCAACAGTGATGAAAAATAGGCATATTAATATAGTGAGAACTGATGACAACAACCATTCTTATTGTAGAATCATTAGCAGTGGTTTGCACCAAAAGATCAATTATGTTTCATGTGTTTATATTGGAAATAAAAATTCTTGAAAACTGTTTAGTGGAGAAAATGAATCTCCTTGTTGTATAGGTACTGGCATCCAACCACCTCCTCGCAGGCATCATCACATGCTCGGCCTCATGTTGAGGCGAGAAGCAAGCTTCTGTCCCAGAGATTTATCAGCCTGCACCAATGCATCAAAACACAGGTTGGTCTGGCATGGCCTCATGCAGTTATGATCAAATTGGACCAAAAGTAATTCAAAGGACAGCAAATGTATGGAAACATGCATAAATTGACTCTAGCATCGCGGTGACAACATCAACCCAAAGAAGTCACGTTACGACTAAGATGTGGAAGTTAGTTAACTCAACTAGCTGTAACTACAGTTGATGATGTTGGTGAAGATAGCAGTCTATAAAACCACAGATGTACTGATGAATTTGAATGAAAGAACTTTTGAATCCCTCTCTTGCCCACCATTTCTCTCTAATTCCCTCTCTCTCCCTTTCTGTATCTCAGACAGAAATTCTTACATTTCTCAATTAAGATTGATTTTTTAATTTTCCCTCATTTCTGTACATTGAACAAAGAATCAAATGCATATTTGTCGCAGGAAGGAAAAGTCACCTGAGACCAGTATGAAATCCAAATGCTGCGGATCTCATAAGTGACTCTTGGGTCAGATAAGGCATCAACCCAGCGTTGGATGAAGCGCTCTTGCCTGTGAATGAAAAAGAAATTTAAGTATTTTAAGCAGGCATAAACTAATACCAACATAATTCCAAGTGTGATGTCTATTGGGTTTGTACAAAGAATACAACCTGTCCAGTTTGAAGGAACGATATCTCTCCCCAGGTTGCTTGAAATTGTTCTCCTTCTCAATTATACACTGTAAACATGAAGTAACAATTATATATCCATATTCAGTTGCCAGTCATTTCAAGAAACCAGATCAGCAAAAGTGCACTAGTTATTGAAATAAGAATTCTTTTAGCATCACTAAAGAGATTTTATTTTGTTAGCCTAAATAGCATTGACCTGGTTATGCATTAACTATCCAACTCTGGATTATAATTTCTTATTCAACCTCCTTAATTCAATATAATTGACAAGAAAAATACCTTCTCCCGTTTGCCGGTGTAGATTGCAGGAGGAATGGGGTATCTCTCTGCGTGCCTCACAGGATCATACCTTGAAGGGAAGTAGTTTACCTAAAACCAAACTCCATAAGATAATATAGAACTAACATAATTTGAAATCAACCGGGTAGAAGGGGATATTTTATTCTGAGTACACATATTGAAAAGCTGAACGAGAAAATGTGGCAGAAACTCAACGAGTCATGCTGTTGACTTGATACAACGACTCGAGCTTCTAAATTGGGGTCATTAGGGAACTCAGTTTTATGAGATTTATCTTTGTGTGCGCGCATGAGTAGAGAGAGAGAGAGAGAGAGAACCTCTTCATCTCTATGCATAAAATTCATAAAACCGTCGTGATGATTGTTGTGATGAGAAGCCTTGGGCGCATTTGCTGGAAGCTGCAGATAATTAGGTCCAAGCCGGTGCCTCTGGGTGTCGGAATAGGAAAAGATACGAGTTTGGAGTAGCTTGTCATCAGAGTAGTAAATGCCTGGCACCACAATAGAAGGGCAGAAAGCCAGTTGCTCATTCTCGTTGAAGAAATTGTCGATGTTCTTGTTCAAAACTAAACGACCCACTGGCTGCAAGGGAATTATATCTTCAGGCCAAGTCTTAGTCACATCAAGTGGGTCAAAATCAAAGCTATCTTCATGGTCAGGATCAATTGTCTGGATAAAAAGCTTCCACTCAGGATAGTTTCCTGCTGCAATTGAGTCATAAAGGTCCTGAGTAGCATGACTATGATTTGATCCCCCAATCTTAATTGCCTCATCCTCCAATAAACTCTTTACTCCACAAGTGGGTTTCCAATGGAACTTCACATAATGTGCTTTCCCAGCCTTGCTAATTAAAGTGTAGGTATTCACACCAGAACCTTCCATGTGCCTGTAATCTTGTGGAATACCAATATCATCGAAAAGGAAAGTGAACATGTGCAAACTCTCTGGATGGTGGGAGAAAAAATCAACTATTCGCCAATTTTCCTGGATATGGGATTTTGGGTTTGGTTTCAGAGCATGAACCATGTCTGGAAACTTCATACCATCACGAACGAAGAAGACCGGGAAATTGTTCCCCACCATATCAAAATTCCCCTGATAACAGAGAACGGAATGTAAAAGATTAGCACTTAACTGAACTTTTATCAATAAAAGCAGTTAATGTCAACAGCAGAAAACTTTACTAAATTACTGTATTGCAGAAAAACTTCAATCAATAAGCAGTTAATGTCAATAGGCAATAGTAGAAATCTCTCATTAACCGATGTATCACAGGAAACTTACTATTCTACTGAATTTTGATTTGAAAATGAGACTTTACAGTGTGTTTCTTCTTGTTTGTTTGGGTTTGTAACTATGTGACTAATCGAAGTGGAAGAGCAATCATCATATGTTTGTTCAAGGAAGACGTTAAGGAACATTATAGAAAAAGAAAGAAAACAAATGTTTTAAGTGTTGATCGTGTTCATAACTGCTATAATACTCTCTACTTTTTCAGATTAAGCCCCTGTTTGGGCGCCATTTACTTTCATTAAATTTCATTTTTCATGGTAAAAAAGTGTGGGCTAGCGCGACCCACTGACACATTCTTATCAAATTTGTACTCGTCTCTGCAGGATGTAAGAACATTTGTGAAAATATGAAAATGAGAAAAGCGTATTTTTGTCATTCAATTTCCAACGGTAATAATGGTATTGCTTACCTTTGACAGAGACGTTGGAGTGTTTTAATTGCTTACTGATAGCACGTATCTTGAAAAGTGAGAAAAAGAAATGTAATGCCAAAAAATGGCGCCCAAACAAGGGCTAATTGTAATGGTGAAATTCATCCATGGACTGCAATTCGATTCAAAGTGAGCTAATGGCATGCTTAAGACTCTGGAAAATGAGTATTGCACACATATATGCACGAGGAAAACTGAAAAACCCCTAATTTGCTTGATCATGAACAACCTCTTCACCACTGGTATGAAAAGATAAACTTCATCCATGTTTTCAAACAAAAGGCTCATGTTACTGACACAAGAAAAACTGGTGACTAATAGGTTGAATACCTCTCTGGTGTAGAACTTCACAGCAAAACCTCGAGGATCCCTAAGAGTTTCAGGGCTGCCCCTTTCATGTATAACAGTGGAAAATCTCACAATGACTGGGGTCTGAACACCAGGAGCACGAAGGAAATCAGCACAGGTAAGATGAGATATATCATGGGTCACCTCAAAAAATCCTTTGGCACTAGCTCCTCTAGCGTGAACAACACGTTCTGGAATGCGTTCTCTATCAAAATTGGCAAGTTTCTCCACCAAATGATAATCTTCAAGCAAAATTGGCCCTGCAGAAAATTTTTGAGTAGCAGAATTGTCATGACTATCAAGTAGCTCAAATATGAATTAGTATATGTTCACATGAGAACAGGAAGTTTTCTTATCAGATAAATGAATAAATCGATTTGTGGAAAGTTACATAAGTTATGAAATGCAACAGTGCGCGCATTAGAAATTCTTCAGAAACCAGGAAGTTTTTACTTTTATCTTTTGAAGCTCTCAAAGAGAAATTAATTCGTTTAAAAACCCAAAAGTTAGGCCTATTGTGCTTATAAACAATCCAAAAGTTCTGCTCAAATCAATCTCAAATTCTGCCCGTGTTTGATGCACCTTCTTAAGGAAAAAATACATTTTAAATAGTGATGTGATGAAAAATATGCGATTAAAGAAGAATGAAAAATTTTGGATTTACGTGTAATATTATTTTATTAAAGATCGTGCGGTAGAAAATGAGTATTGAAAGAATGCATTTTTTTTTTTAAATGTGGATCAAACATGGCCTTAAGTCATGCTTAGCTTTTTCTTTGCCGCGTCATTTACATTTGTACTAAGAAGCACATATACTTGTAAATTCATTACATACTCGTACATATATTCTATATGTATCCAAGCATGGGTATGCTCCAATACACATTGGATACATATTTTTTTAAATTATTTTATACTTTTTAATTTTTCGGTATGCATTAGATATGTATTTTTAATTATTTTGATGCGTATCATTTAGGACATGTGAACAAGAATTTTACTGATTTTAAATTCTTTTAAAACTCATTACTATTGAATATAAATTGACAAAAAGATTTACTTAATAGATAACTATTATTATTATCAATAACTTATTGAAAATATATAATATTTATTGAAAATATACAACTAGAGTTTCAATTTAATTGACAACTAGAGTTTTTTTTTTTATTATAAATACACAATAGCGTTAATTTTTTTTTAATATATGTAAAATCGTGTTAATAGTTGATAAATATATTCTTATTATTGAAAATAGGTAATAGTATTAAATTTCTTTTCAAAATGAGAATTCAGAACGTGGGACATTGCTAAATATTCATTCAATAATCTTGAAGGTGGTTGGCTACTTGATGTTGCTAATCTATCATTAGATGAGCCAGAGTTAGAGAAATAACATTTTTAATAATAATGAAGAAGCTAATGTTGGTGATGTCGAAGAAAATAAAGTTGTGACAATGAAAGATTAAGATAAAATGCTTTAATATTTTATTTTATTACCATGCTTCTGCCTTAATTCTTTTATATATATATATGTGTGTGTGCATTCCTAATTTTTTTTTCATAAAAAGTCGTATTGGCATACTGTATTTTATGGTATGCAGAGAAATGGGTTTGTAGCTTATAAATATATGTGTGTTTGAGCCACATTATTTTGGAAGAATGTATTTTGGAATAGTATATTGATGGAAAATATATGTGTGGTTGAAAAATAAGGAAAAATGATTGATGTTATGGAAAATATTATTTTATTGAAGAATGTGTGGTTAAAAATAAGTAGAAGAATGAGAATAAAAATTTTAATGTGGCTCAAACAGGAGCTCAATGCATTATGGTGCAACAAACATCCTTTCTGTACTTCACAAAGTGATTTCTAGGTAAAAGGTTGTATCCATAAAGACCAAGTCAGAAGTTCCAAAATCAGAATGAAATCAAATGAATTAAACAAGTTTTATCAACAAAGACAGTATAACATACCTCTTGATCCCACCGTAAGTGATGAGTTGTTGTTCCAAACAGGAGCACCAGAATTTGTAGTGAAGAATGGGGAATTGTAGGCACTTGATGGACGGTACTGAATTAAAATGACAACGTAACAGTTCAATACAAACATCCGTGTACACGACAAGTAAACATATAATTTCATTAACACCGGAAAAATTTACATCTTATGGAGTTTAGTCTTGCGTAAAAAGCATAAGATAGTTGACGGAGAAATCTCCGTCCAACTGTGATTTTTAAAGGGACATAATTACGAATAAAGTTCTTCGATGCATGCTGAAAGTAGTAGTAGTTGATACCTTGTAAGGATCCATTATGCAGTTTGTAACAGTTGAAACTGTTAGAGAGAGAGAGAGAGAGAGAGAGAGGTATGAACGTTTATGTCCAGAGGATAAGAAGAGGGAAATGGCACGGCCTTTAATACGAGAGAGAGAGAGAGAGAGAGATAGATGAACGTTTATGTCCAGAGATAAGAAGAGGGAAATGGCACGGCCTTTAATTCTAGTTTGTAGTCATTCAAATTTTGGAGCTATTTATTTTATCAAAATTAAGCTAAAATTCTATTTAAGAACTTGTTTAATTCACATTATTTTTAAAATACATTTTTCACTCTCTTCTTTTCAATCACACATTCTTTAATAAAATAATATTATACGTAAATTCAAAATCCTTCCTTATTTTTAACCACACATTCTCTATCAATCTATTATTTCAAAATACATTCTTAGAATAAAAATGGGGCTCAAAGTATTACATCAAAGTACAAACAAGACGGTGATTGAGGCTGGGCTATTTAAGAATATTTGTGAAAAAATGGACAATGGGAATTTGAGGCCGAGACATAAGAAATGAGTAGAAAGAGATGGTGGGACCAACAAACTATTTTATGTGAATGTAGTAAAATACGGTTTTGATAAGGTACGAAGTATCATGAGAACATCGTGAATTCCTAGTTATCTTATCTTCGTTTTGTCCTTTAACAAGCCTTGGCCTTTTATCAACCACTAGTACTTGATTGGATGCTCAATTCTTATAGTTTATAAACGTGGTATAGGCATCTAATATTTTATATTTATACAAGTAACATGTCATGGAATGAACCATTTCACTATAATTCCTAAGAACCGTAATCCAAAGTTCGGGGTCTAAAAATTATTTATTTTTAGTGTGGCGGATAATTAAGATGACGTTAGATTATATATTTTTTGGACAAAGTTAGTGGTTGTTTGGAAGATTATTTTAAATAATTCGAAGCAGAATTTCGAAGGTCTTAAGTTTATTATGTAGTAAACATTACTATATATAATGATTTTTTCTATGTTATTATTATAAATATGGATATTATGCATTAGGGGCGATGACATGACTTTTACTTATCCACATTAAGGGCCTGTTTGATTAGGATTATTTTCCATGGAAAATGGAAATCAATTTCCATCTTCCACATTTTTACTTGTTTGATGCAACAAATTTTCTAATGAATCCTTTTTCTTGGTTTTCCTTCACACGCCATATTTTCTTGGATTTTGGTGAGAATTTGGTTTCCAGCCTNTGGAAAACAATTTCTAGGCAATTACTTTATCTGGAATTCATTTTCTTTCCACCAATTTTTCACCATTGCAATCAAACGGACCCTAAGAGAAATTTTATAATTTCTAGTTTCATTTTATAAAGTCAAATTATTCTCTCAAGTCACGTTTGAGAAATTTTAGAAGAAACATAGTTTTGCAACAAAGATACATATTTGTCAAAGTTCAAACAAGCGTTTCAATGTTGAAGGTTGTTCTTCATATATTAACTTTTATGCAAGCCAAGCAATCGTAAAAATATTTGAAGGCAAGTCAACTTTATTAGCCAAATATTATTCTAAATTTCTCGTGTTGTAACAAACTATTCGAAGGTTTTGAAATTAGTTCAAAATATGTTTCTGCTGCCTTGATGTTGCAACTTACTATTTAAATTTCTACAGCAAGTTCTACTTTTCTCCTTGTTGCATGCAACAGTAATTACAACATTAAATGACACGCTACTGATTTCAATCCATGCTATTATAACGTAGCAGTTGTTAAGAATTGATACTAAAGTTAAATTGTATCGACCCGTGTAGGGATGTAGCTAACGCACATCTAGGGTTTCTCCAGCATGGAAGTTTCCGGCATTAAACTTGCTGTGTGGCATAAAGTTTGAAGATTCTGGTTTCTTAATGCTTACCAGATTTCCAACCTAATAACCGTTTGACGAAATTGAGATAAGAGAGTTTGGGACCCGCCTTAGTTGTTAAGACCGGTGAGGAATTTAATGTAGGCACTTCAACCGGTGTGACCATTATGTTGTTGTGTGATAGAGCTTGACATTCCCGTTTAATTCTTCTGCTGACTAAAACTGTAGTCCTGGACTCTAGCGTTAAACTTTCCATCAAAACTCAAATGAAGGCGAAGTTTATATACCTCATTTTCCGAACACGTTGTGCCTTGCTATCCACTTATTTTAATCTCGACAAATACTTCTATCACTACTAGAAAACACTCTTAACAGCAATGGAAAATCAGACAAAAGTATTTGCCGCAGATTTCATACTAATAGGGTGTTTGGTGGGGATTAAAATTAGATTTTTAGTAGATTGTGATAGAAGTTTTTGAAATATGTGGTTGAAAAGTTGTGGGACCCATGAAAGATGTTAATATTGATTGATTGACTATGACTTGGATTAAAATCAGATTTTAATCCAGCCTAAACTAGCCCTTTATAATCGTTGTCTGTTTTCAATATTTCTTGCATTCGTTGATTTTTCGCATATTTAGAGGGTTTTTTGTAGCGATTAAAATTAGATTTTTAGTACATTTTGATAGAAGTTTTTGAAATGTGTGATTGAAAAGTTGTGGGACCCATGAAAGATGTTAATATTGATTGTTTGACTTTGACTTGAATTCGGACCAAACATGGGCTAAGGCCAGTAATTGACAGAAAGTGGAGGTGGAACCACAAAAGTTATTTTTAAAAATACCCTTTTAAAGGTATATAATTTTAATATATTTTGGGAGTTACTATGTCTATACATTAAACAACGAAAGAGGGTATGCATAAGAATTTGCATTTTAGTAATCACTGCAATACTTACTATTCATTTTTCAAACCTATAATCTTATACTATATTAAAGAAGGATAGTAGCAACTTTTTTCCGCGCCACTGAACTGCTCATTTTTGCCGCCCAAGCCCAGACGCAATTTTTTTATTCATTTTACTTTGTCAATAACTTTTCAAATTTTTTAAATAACACTAATCATTGCTACAGTATTACGACGGCCACGCAACCACTGCATCACATTATCACACATGTGAAAACATTAAATGCAACAACTATTTCTTTCAAATTTTTTAAATATTCCCACTGCAACAAGTTTCTTCAGAATATTTTATATTTTTTCATTTCAAAACAACTATTTAATCTATCTTTAAAATTTTTTTAAGAAAACTGTTGTCTCATTATAATTTATTGTCACAAAAGAAATGGTGATGAGAATATGTTGTCTCATTATAATTTGCTTCGACAAATGAAATGGTGATGAGAATATATCGTCTCAAATTTTTTTATTCAGATATTTGCACGCTTTTTCACATCTCCATATTTTAATTTTTCAATTCCGCATGTTAGGATATTTGCAGGCTTTTTCACATTTTCATTTTTCAACTCGCCCATTGTACTTCACTCCACCCATCCCCTCCCACCCAATCCCTAACACATATACTTTTCATCATAATCTCCATTTTTCAATTTTTCAACTCCCCGTGTCAGGATATTTGCAGGCTTTTTCACATCTCCATCTTTCAATTTTTCAACTCGACCACTGTACTTCACTCCACCCCTCCCACCCAACCCCTAGCACATTTGAAATTCAATTTTATCCTCGCAAAAAGTGTTGTGTATCAGCATTTTAAACTCTATCAGCGTTTCTCATATATTTTCGTTCATCATCAGGCTTTTCTCTTATGTAAGCGACCATCCCAATTTCTTTGTTTTTACCGGTATCTGCTTCATTTTTTATTTTCGCAATCTAAGTTAAACCTTAACTTTTTTATTTGTATGTGCAAGATTAACCTTTTTTATTTGTATGTGCAGTAAGATGGCTCCCATAATAGATATGCTCACAGACATCGTTCCTACCAAAACCAAG